TCTCGATATGTACATACTTGGGATGCATCTATTGTTATCAAGTATTTGAGAAAATTGTCACCTGTAAAACACTTAAGTTTGAAAGATTTGACACTGAAGTTAGTTATGTTAATTAGTTTAATTTGTGCAAGTCGAGTACAAACTATTTCATGCATGAAACTTAGTAATATGACGAGAAGAAAAATAGCTTTGTTTTTACTTTTAGTGATTTATTGAAAACATGTAGACCTAACAGTAGTATGTCTGACATGGTTTTGAAATCTTATCCTCCAGATAGGAGGCTTTGTGTATATATTGTTTTATGTGAATACTTATCAAGGACTGCAAGAATTAGAAATAAGTGTGATTCACTTTTTATCAGTTATGTACAACCACACAAGGAAGTATCAAGAGATACTGTTGCCCGTTGGATAAGAACAGTGATGTGTTCTGCAGGTGTTGATACTACTATTTTTAAGGCTCTTAGTGTTAGATCTGCATCAGCATCTAAAGCAAAAGAGAACTTTGTTCTTGTCGATGATATTTTGTCCAAAGTATGTTGGTCTAATGTCGAAACCTTCAGAAAGTTTTATGACAAACCTGTGCTGAATGATGATAAGTATGCAAATGCTGTTTTGAAATTAAAATAAAGAATTTGATTTCAGTTTGAAATTTTTTTTGTGTTGTGCTTTAAAGATTCACATTATCTCGGAAGTGACGTTTACGAAAAATAATTAGGAAATTAAACGAGACTTACCTTGGTAAAGGCGAAATTTGATTCCAATTATTGGAGTAAATAAAAGGCACTGTAGAAATAAGGTGCCTCCCTCCCACCCTGCAGGTGGTGAATGTATTATTTGAAATTATTAGTGAAATGAATTTGGGTTTGATGTTTTGTTGCAAATCTATCAACCCAAAAATTTTTAGCTTTGAAGCAATGACTTGGCGGCTGCGCAGTACTATTCACCTTATCTCTACAGTGCCTTTTATTTACTCCAATAATTGGAATCAAACTTCGCCTTTACCAAGTTAAATCTCGTTTAATTTCCAAATTTTACCCTATGTCGTTCAGCCTCACTGATGCGTTTTAATGCATGTGTATTGTCTTATGTCTTGTTATGTGTATGTATGACATAGTTGAATAAAGTCGTTGTAAAAACGCACATGGCGTGGTCAGACATAAAAAGTTTTTTGCCCCACCCCCCAGGGGGGCAGGGATCATGAAATTCACAATTTATGTTCCTCTTCACCCATAGTTGCTGTATGCCTTCTTTGGTTGAAATTGGTTCAGTGGTTTTGGAGAAGAAGCTGAAAATGTTCAAATGTTCACGCACGACGGACGACGACAGACGAAAACGGAAAGCAATAGGTCACCTATTAGTTTTTAGTCAGGTGACCTAAAAAAAAGCTTTAGCAAAGTTCGATTTGTGCTAGGGTAAGTCGGGGTAATTTCGACCACGGTTCAATTTCGACTACACAAACACAACACTGCATCATGATTCACGGTATTGTTGAGACAAGTTTCTTTAATTCGGTTTTAAAGTAAACTATTCCTAAAATTGGATATCCTAGTATAATTTCTCATTTAAAAAATGGTTTGGTCAGAGGTATAACTACATGTTTCACTATTTTTTATCCCTCCAGTTTGACACTCGGAAGTCCGTCTTCAGTGCGCTTGATGTGATCAACGAAAAGCAAGAGATAACTCGTGCGACCTCTTTTTGGGTTAGACAATAATCAACATTTTAACAGTTCGAATTAAATTGAAATTTTTTAATTTTTTTCTTGGAGTGTAATAAGTAGCTGAATTTCACATTTTTAGCTTGGATTTTTCTCAAAAAGAACAAGAAACGTCCGTTGAATTTGGTCGAAATTACCCCTACTGTTTTTAAGGACGCGGGGTAATTTCGACCAGTGACGTAATAAGGGGAAATATGTGTAAGTTATGTTTAACAGCTGTATAATATTCAATGCTGATTTAAATTTCTAAAATAAAATTGAATATTATACAGTATAATACACAAAATTCTTTAAATTTTGAAAGAAAATAATATACGATTAAAAAATATATGCATGCATTGCGATCTACAATGTATCCCTATATTGTCTGAGCACATGCAGCAGTGTGGTGAGGGTGCATTTTCTGATCGATGTAGAGAACTTTACACATGGCGATAGCAATCAAAACGATTTCAAAACCCATGCAAATTAATAAATCAAAATATGCAGAGAGAATTAAATATGATTACAGAATGAATTTTTTTTTTGATCATTGCGAAATTATTTGTTCGACAGACAAGATTATGAGGATATCGGAAACCAAGAACCGGTAGTTTTAAGAACGTACATGTATCACGCAGTCCACGTACACAAATCCAAGTACATTAATATGTGTATCAAGCAAGCTGTTCGAATAACACACATAAAGAACTGCAACAATATTGAAAGAAAAAATAATTTTTAAAAATAATTAAGAGTTTTTTTTCATCGCGGGGGGGGGGGGGGGGGGGGGTTCAGAGGAATTTGCTTTTGCACTCTTCTTTCATATGATTTGATAGAATTTCTCAGGATTTTTAACAATTAAAAAACATACGAGGGCCGTTCAAAAATTACGCGGACTTGTTGTACAGAAAAAATATTTGACGACATAATCGGGCAAAATATCACACATAATATAAAAGAATCTTTACTTATATGGTCTTCAAAATTTCATATCAAAATATTGTAAATTGGTATAAATTTTGAGTGATTTATCAGGACATATCATTGAGTCACGGACCAGCAAATCTTCGACGTCACAGGCATTATAATAAAAATATGTGATTGAGTTTTCATTTTCTCAACATTTTCCCAAGAGTACCTGTACAGTTTGAGTTACCTTATCTACCCAACATCCAAACACCATTTCTTGTCGAGCTTAAAATCTATTTTTATTCATTTTCAAAACAATTCGTAATATAACGCATTTCAAATAAATTCGTATGTGCTTAAAAGCGTTCTAAAAAAAACTTTGATTCTGTTGAGCCTCGGAAAAGAAGATTTGCAACGAAGTACAGTACGGACTGGACAGTTTAAAAATCTTAAGAAGGAAATTATCTAAGGAATAAGAGGAATTTTGTTTCCATAACTACCAAATTCCAAGCTTTTTCTATGTTTAGCGTCCGCGTGCGCTTTGGTTTTTGACACCCCATATAAGAAAAAACACACAACATCAGGAGTCCTGAAATTGATTAATTCAATCGAAATTTTTAAATTTTGTCAATTTCTCCAAATAATTCTATAGAGTAAGTTATGTATTGGGTGTATTTTAAGCATTTAATCCTTTGTTTTTGCTTAAGCATAGATATTTCTTCTATTAAAGCAGTTTAGTTAGATCAAATCATTTGAAGGGCGTCATTTTTATCACTTTTAAGCCTGTGTTCTATGTTTTGGCTTGTGTGTTTTTTGCGAATAGGTAGGTAGGTTTTTGAAAGATGGGTGGACGCTAAACAGAGAAAAAACTTGGAATGGCCTAGCATCGTATTAGATTTGGCGAATTAAGATGCAGAATAATGAATAAGAATGAAGATGTCAAAGGCTGCAATGAAAAACTTGTCAGTGGTAATCCAACTCATTTCTTTACTAAATCAACAAACATACATGTAAGTGTAATACTAAGTTTGACACTGACTCAGGAAAAGTGAGGTCAAAGGTCAAAGCAAAGGTCAAGGTCAAAAATGTTATTTTTAATCTTTTTTTGACAGACACTTATATTTCCTATAACAGACAGTTTATTTTCTTAGAACATAAATTTTGAATAAAATGCGATAGTTAGAGTTTAATTTCATTGTAAGAGTTATCTTTCCTGTTGATGTTTGTTGTGGTCGAAATTACCCCGAGGCTGGTCGAAATTAACCCAGGCATCATGGTTACTAATTTTTGAACCAATTTATTATTTTTTAACATATTTTTAGTTCGTAAAGCATAACATTTGAAGAAAAAAATCAAACTTCTTTACTTCGAATCTATTTTCAACTTGTACATTTGAAAACGGTCAAGTTTTGCGGATTGAAAGCCATATGTCAGCATAAGTGGTCGAAATTACCCCAGTTTACCCTACTGTTGTCCAACATATGTATCCGAAAATATTAAGTATACCTTGTTGGACTGCTTACAACTCTTTTAAATCAAGTCGTTCTATAACCCATTCGTGTGATGTTTGATTTGAAATGTATATTTCCATTTTGGGTTTTCAGGTACCGAGTCCTCTTATGTCTTTTTGGATAGTTTCCATTTCATAATCAAGCTTTCTGCTGACCGTTTCTTTGGTTGAGTTGTTTTTTTATCGGTTGTATTGTAACGTCCGAGCAATTAGGTAATCCATGTTTATTGCAGGTAGCAATAATATGTCAAATATGAGTAAATGCGCAATGCGTAATCCAGGTATTTAATCGCCCCCGGCGATTTACTTCCTCCTTGGAAATCAAAAGTCAGTATCGGTTCAACTTTTATTTACACATAATCATACTTAAGAATCATCCAAAATCATCATAATCAAACACTGTATAATTCATCCTGAAACGATTTTTGAGCGAAGTATATCCCAACAGAACTATATCAAAATATTACGACTGTCCCCGTATCAAATAAGCATCCGTATATATACTAAATGACCATCACTCCTAAGGAGTGATGGGGTATAAACAAATGACCGTCACTCCTAATGAGTGACCAGGTGTAAACAAACTATTCTAAAAATAGAACGAGTGACCGGGAGTTATATAAATGCTGCAGAATATTAAATAAGCATTTAACATAATGAATTTAGAAAAAGACTGACATAAGAATACGTAACAACTTCCCCCGCCTAAGATTTTTGACTCCGCTCAAGATTATGTACATACAAATATAAAACATTTTCAAACGCATAAATGATAATGATAAAACACGTTCAATTACAGTCAAATATTTACAAAATGTCATATTTACATAATGAAATGAAATGGCACAATTGTTCTAGTTTCCAGTATCCTGAATAAAAATCACAAAGTGGAGTTCACTGAGTTCACTACTCGCACATGGCGATTATTAAAGTGATGTGGCACTTCGGTGATTATTTCCATCGCAATGTTGGCAAAGTCCACATTCACTGGGTCCACATTTCTCGAATGCGCGATGGAGGTGTTTCGCACAACTTCTGATGTACCATCCGGATACACAGTCTCAATCTTTATTAGGGTTAACGAAATCACGGTCGTCTCTGAGGCACTTCCGGTTTCATTTGTAGTGTCCATGTCACTATCCTCTGTCGGCACCGGTGTCTCATATTCTTCATCCTCCATGTATTGTTCGCGGTCCTCTCCCCGAAATTCGAAGTCGCTATCCCCGCACAGAAAGTCATCAACATTTACTGCAGGATCCTCGCGCATAATGTCCTCCAGTAATGACGAACTCACAGACAGGATGTCGCGATCTTCCGGGTTAGGGTCGGTCACCATCTTTTCCAACTCTTCTTCGTCTGATACGTTCTCGTACTCCAGTTCACACGCTTCCTCAGGAAAAATGTCACTATACTGGTCACTGAGAACTGTCACATACACCGGTTTCCTCGACTCACTCATCGTGTCGTGCGTCATCTCTGTCCTGTCACACTTGGTCATTTCAGTCTTAGCCTGTTCCATAGTTAGTCTATGTACATTACACAAATGTCTTCGTAGATTAAAAAGTCTACCAAAAGGTTGTTGGCAAAAATTACACTTCACAATCTGGATTCTTGAAGAATGTTGTTCTTTCTTGTGTTGGTTTAACGCACTAATTGAATTAAGTTGAATTCCGCATTGGTCACAGACAGCCATTCGCACTGAAAATAAACTAGAACTGGTTAAGCCATTCGCATTGAAAATAAACTATAACTAGTTAGTCTCTGAATCTGGCTGGTCTCCTAAGTTTCTGTCCTCTTCTGGTCATCCTCAACTCGGCTTCTTCCCTCATTGGAATGTGGTGGTAAGCCATGTTAAGATCCAGCGAGGTAAACCATCTCGATCCAGCTAATGGGTCGAGATCATCGACAATTCTCGGGATAGGGTATGCATCCTTAATTATCTGTGCATTCAGTCGCCTATAATCCACACGTAATCTCCATGATTTATCTTTCTTTTGTACCAAAACAAGTGGAAAGGACCAGGGGCTATTTGATTTCTCGAACAATCCTTGTTTCAGCAACTTTTCAATTTCAGCATCTAATATATCTCGTTTGAATATAGGAACTCTTCTCACTCGATCTTTAAATGGGCTGTCGTCACTAAGATTGATACGATGTTCTCCTTTTTCTTGCGCGCTCCGTAGGCATTTTAGGATCAGCAAAAACGGATTTACGTCCTAGTAAAAACTTTCTGAATTCCATTGCTTGTTCTTCTGACAGGTTTTCATATCCTTGTTGAAACACATCACATAGAAAATCCCAAAGTTCATCGGACACACTTCCGGTTCGCACATTACACACATCACTCCATGGAAATGAATCACAAACACAACTCACTGGTGCTAATAATGCAATTTCCGTATTTGTCTTCACATAAATTTCACTATTCCCGGGATTAAATACTCGCACATACACAACGCCATTTTCCGCGTTCACTAATGTATGCGCAACAGTCAGTCCATGACTATGAACAAATTGTTCAATCGGCACTAATATTCCTTCTTTGATATTGGTCCTGGAATTCACTTTTGACTTTAACACAGCCTCATGCTTAGGTGGAATAACGCTATTTCCCACAGACACTACCAGGCAGCTTTGTTCGATTTCCTCACTTGAGCTGGCAATTCCCAAGCTCAAACTTAGGCTATTATTATCATAATTCCACTGCCCTTGAAATTTTGTCATAAAATCCTGTCCAAGCAAATTACACTGAACGCCTCCCACGAAAACGCGAAAATAAACATTCATACCTCCGAAAGTAAGAATCATTTTTGCAGTTCCAATTGTTTTCAACTCCCTTCCATCAGCAGTTTTGAATTTCTTTCGCACTAGCTCCAATACAGGTCTATCTAATGGAAGAATACTATAATACACTTCCTCTGTGATAAACGTATTCACCACACCTTTGTTGATTTTCCAGTCCAACGGAGTGCCTTCCACTAATCCGCTAACTTTCATACCAGATTTCACTAGATCTTCAGTCATTTTACTCTGCACATCCGCTTTAACTCCGAAATCTTTGTGCGTTACAGCATCTGTTTGAGTTTCAGAACATGAAACATGACGCTGTAATTTTCTGTATTAGGCCTATTTTGTGCGGTGACCGACGCATGGCCTACTACCTCGGTCGATTCGAGTTTAACCGCTGACTTCCATCTCCGGAATATTTGACACTTCCTGTTCCGGGTATACTGACATCTTGGTTGCCTTTGTTTTCCGATAGCCTATTCTTTGGACAATTTCTCATTAGATGCTGAGACGAGTTACACTTAAAACATCTTTTCACCGTATGATCGACATTTTTAGTTAATGTTTTGTTACCAAAGTACCGTTTATCAGTTACTGTGTACACCTGTGGTTGGTATTCTTTCTTCACATGGGGCTTTTTATTTTCGGTAAAATGTATGCACTCTTCTTGCATAGCAGCTGTAACAGCTTCGTCTAAAGTTCTTGGGCGTGTTCGCTTTTCTGCAAGGCGGAAGTCGTCATTATCGCTACAGTTATCCAGGAATGTTTTCATTGAGCTTTCCATTACATACTCTTTGTTCTCGAGGTAAGCACGAAGATGCAAGTCCTGAATGGCCTGTCCGAAATCCCGGAATGTTTCTTTGTCCTGTTTCCTGCGCAGCTTAGCTTCAGCTATATAACTTTCCTTAAGCGCTGTATGCCCAAATCTCTGATTTAATGCCTCTTTCAATGACTTGTACTGTCCCAAAGTATTTTACGGAAGTCCATAAGCAAACGCTTCAGCTTAATCCCTTAAAAATGTTAAAAGAATGCGTCTCATGCGCTGCTCTGACCACTGATTCAAACTTGCCACATTCTCTAAGTATCGAATGAATTCACTCCAAATAGTGGATCCATCTCCCTTAAAAACTCGTTTCACAGGAATATTAATAATATCCGGTGATTGGCTAGAAACATGTGCGACATGTGAAAAAATCTGTTTCCTCTGCTCGCTCTCGGTCGAGTTTGACTTCCTCGCACAGTACTAGATACAGGCTGTCCGGATTCCTCTATGTTGCGTTCTCGGTTGGCACATAGTTTCCAAATTACACTTCCTATCACAATGCATCCCAGAATGGATCCTGTCATGAGTATGAATTCTCGAGTAATCCAACACAAAAATTCGCCAGGGAAAAATTTGTAAATCACAGCTATCACTGAAACACACAGTGAACTCACATATATCCAGAATTTTAACAAATTTCCCCATCCCTTAGGACGTTCGACTTCGGGTGTCAATTGCACCTCCGTTCCCGGAGTACGTAAATCAAAGTCGGGTGTACGAGAAATTGGAGTTTCCGCTTCCTCAAATTCCGTCAACAAATTTCTTCGCACTGAATTTCGGGGGGCCCTAGGAGTCTCCGCACTTCGTATAGTTTCCATATCTAATTTGTGTATCTCAGGTTGTTTAAATAGCAATGCCAATATCACTGCAATGTGCGCCACCAAAACACCACTCAAAAATAAATCCAGTTTGACAAAATATTTACATTATTCACATCACATCTAATAAAGTTACACGAGAATTTTTTATACGGCAAGCACATGCCGGACATCGGTAGAAATGGCTCACAATCTCTTTACTTTCGATTATCAAACGATGTCGATTTTCTGTTGTGATGAACATATTGTAACTATTCGGGCACTCTTTCCTCAAATCGAATGGTTCAATCCTGATGAGCACTTCATTCCCTGAATCATCATAATCATAAATATACGCAAGTCTCTGGTTCGAAACGTTTCTAGGTAAATCCATAGTTCACAAATTCACTGAATTATCACCGTAATATATCCTACCGGAATAAAAATATCTCATCGAAATTGTTAAATCCCAACCGCTGCCACCAGTTGTAACGTCCGAGCAATTATCAGATTTAATTTAGTTAATCCATGTTTATGCAGGTAGCAATATTATGTCAAATATGAGTAAACGCGCAATGCGTAATCCAGGTATTTAATCGCCCCGGCGATTTACTTCCTCCTTGGAAATCAAAAGTCAGTATCGGTTCAACTTTTATTTTCACATAATCATAGTTAAGAATCATCCAAAATCATCATAATCAAACACTGTATAATTTATCCTGAAACAATTTTTGAGCGAAGTATATCCCAACAGAACTATATCAAAACTGTATTACGACTGTCCCCGTATCAAATAAGTACCCGTATATATACTAAATGACCATCACTCCTAAGGAGTGATGGGGTATAAACAAATGACCGTCACTCCTAATGAGTGACCGGGTGTAAACAAACTTTTAAAAATAGAACGAGTGACCAGGAGTTATATAAATACTGCAGAATATTAAATAAGCAATGAATTTAGAAAAAGACTGACTTAAAAATACTTAACAGTATCTTTCTCTTTCTTATTATATGCTACACTTGCAACACGGTCAAAAGATATATCGCACCCTCGCTTTAGGTGCGTGTGCTTGCTGCAAAGCCACTAGGGTGAACTATAGGTAATGGAAGATAAAGCCACCTCACGATTTGCAGACCTGTACTTCTCGTTGGGTCGGACAGTATCAATGACAAGGGCGTCACGATTCAAACTCTCCGAATGTTAACAAAAAAAAAAATTAAATTTATAAATTAGATTGATAATTGATAATTTTGAGTAACAAATGACACGAGTTATTTGATTTACAAGCAGAGTTGAAGATTATGATTTGAAATAAACAATAATTAAGTCAAACAAAGCACAGTCCATCTGGCCATATCACTCTTGGCCTAATTAAGATAATGAATTTGTATCATCTAATTGTTCTATATATCCCATGTCACCTGGGGCATTGTTGTCGTGTAAGTGATTCTGAGTATCGTCATGCTGAGCCGCGTCTGGTGGTAATGGGTTTGGTGTGCTAGGAGGATCAGCAGTGGTTGGTGTTAGACTAACACTCTGAGAATTGGATTGGGTTTTAAGGGAAGTGGATGGAAGTTTGCTAGTAGACATGCATGTTAGAATTGGGGGGGGGGGATTTCTTAGCACTGTATCCAGATTCATTGCTTAAGATCTGTTAAGGTCTTTCCACCCTCACAATTCTAATGGCTCAAAGTACAGTAACTGCATTTCTCTTCATTTAGTATACTCTAAATTTTTCACTTATTGCTAAAAATGTATAAGTCGCCATTTTATTTAAGATAAGAGACAGAAAAACCAGAAGTCTCTTTCGAGACTGTAGCTCTACTGGTTTGTACTAATCAAAAACCGATGCACAGAATTATGTATCTTAGTGTATCTACTTGTATGATAAGTTATACTGAAATCAGACCAAAACTGTAGGAGTAGCATTTTAAAGGAATTCCACAGAAAATTCTACTTTTAGTAACCATGGCAACACCATTTATTGAAATCAAAATCGATGCACTATTATATGTAAATTAGTGTAGTTTACTTGTGTGCCAAGTGATAATGAAATCAGACCAAAACTGTAGAAGGAGTAGCGTTTTAAAGGAATTTCTCAGAAAATT